ACGTCTTATTATTACTTTATATTTCTTAATATTTATTTTAAATGTTTTTATACATACACAAGTATATAATATTGAATTACATTACTGTTTATTAGGGTGGCCCAAAAAAACGATTATTTTTTTGTTCGTGTCTCTTATCAAAATATATTAGTTTATCATGTTTTAAGAGACCCCTCAAAAAATCAGCTCAAAAAAATGTTTTTAGAAGTCGCTCAAGATTTTTAAAAATTTCCAAAATTGACAAAAATTGAATTTTTTTTCTCGTCAATTTATCATTTTCTAGGTTGAAAAAAATCTCGATTCTGAAAAGGACCCCGCACAAATCTTATGGAAATTGGGTCCCGGTCAAATAGAGCAAGTAACTTATTTTTTGTGCTTAACTTTGTGGAAATCAAACATGATATAAGTTTATGACTTCACTTTTGAACTCAGTGATCTAAGCAACTTAAAGCTTTTTAAAAAAAGTAACTTTTTGACTTTATTATTGCATTTTGACAGTTAGTTGACAGCTTGTTGACAGCTGTAAGATGATGACTACATAATTTTATATCATATTTATATTCATTTATCTAAAAAACTTAGTTATAAACAAAAAATAATTTTTTGACTTTATTACCGGACCTTGAAGAATTGTTGACAGCTAAATGACAGCTGCCGATAGTCATTGTTATTGATTTGATATCGTCTTTGAACTTATCGAACTAAAAAAAAGAAAGATAAAAGATAAAAAACAAGTTTCTGGCTTTATTATAGCACATTGACAGCTATTTGACAGCCGCCAACTGTCAGTTTTGAAAATCTAACAACAGATCTGAATTCAGCAACCTCAAAAATATAACCCTAGATAATAAAAAAAATGAAATAGGCTATTTCAAAAGTCTATACCGGGACCCAATTTCCATAAGATTTGTGCGGGGTCCTTTCAAATCGATATTTTAATTTCTAAAAGTCACTCATAATTATTTTAACTTTAAAAGTAGTGTACCTAAAATGTTTTCGAGCGACCTCTAAAAATAAATATCAACGAACTAATATTTTTTTTATTGAATTTGATGAACAAAAGAATAGAAATAAATCACGAGACACTTTAAAAATTTCCCGAGGCAAAATTTACTGCGAGTATCAAATAATTGTAATGTTTTTATTTTTTAAAATGAATTGCTGTTTTTAGCACTAACTACGCTCGACATAATTACACAATTATTCATCAAAAGACAACTAAACTCATTCACGATATATAGGTACTGTTGTTAATTCCTATCCATTGGTGTTTATGGTGGTGTATTGTAGACAATTTAATTTGTTGCTTTTTAATAAATAATGAGTACGCCTATGTCCCGCGGCTCAATTCTGACAGCCATAATCAGTCAAAGAAATGTCTTACATTTTTGTTGTTCTAATATCACCATTGACAAAGACCAACACATAAAAAACAGCTACTTCAAAAGCTATCTTTTGCATTCCTAGTTATTTGGTATCGAAGAAAAGTATTTCATTTAATTTATAAGATTATTTAGAAACAAATTAAATTGAATTTGTTGGAATTAGCTTAAATTCAAGCCAAGATATTTGATTTTCAAGCGACTTAGCCCGAATACCAAGTCAAGTCGTAAGCCTCTATTACAATAATTAAAAGTGATCATAAATTCTGTGGATAAGCATTTATGCATTTTTTTTTAAACGATTAACAAATCGATTTGACACAACAGTTTTTTTGCAAAATTTTTGATATTAAACTGCTTAATTTTAAAAAATAAATAAGAGGGCTATTGGCCCCACATTTTTTGATAATAATTGCAGCTGGACTGAAAATATATAAGGTAAATCATTAATTAAAAAACAATATAACTGAATCCGAAACCCTATGAATATTGAGTTTTCAAAAGAATGTTGTAGAACTTACATCACTATTTTTATAAATCATTCTAAACTCTTTTGTTAATAGTTTCCAGATACCCAGATATACCATTTAAAGAAAATAAAACATACTAAACACAACGTAACGTACCCTACGTCTATTCTTACCTGCAGTAACTCAGAAGTTCAGTATTTTTTTTTAGAGGGAAAGGGAAAATGTACAAATTTGCTACTAATAGAGTTAAAAAGTAGACTGTCCAAGAAACAAGAATATGAACTCCTATCCGTATTTAACTATTTCCCTGTTTGGTTATAGTAAAATGTTCTTCTGCTATAAAATTACAATTAAAAATATTTTTAAAAAATCCAGTTTCAATTTATCATATTTAGGTGATCAAAGGGGAGTATTAAACAATTTGGCCAACATTATGATTTAAAAACAGTTTATTGACTACTTCTGTCTAACATTTCTTACATAAAATTTGAGATGTTTAAATCAACAACAGTATGAACAAATCCAGTTTTACAAATCAAAATTTCAATATGGACCTAATTTATTGGACAGTCTACAGTGAAGTCCTGAAGAAATTTCCCGTACTGGCAAAACTGTAATATACAAACATTAACTTCTATATAATAGACATTCAGCTGAAATTTGAGTAATGGTAAAACAATATTCACAGTCGTTTTGAAAATTTATCTTTATTTGAATTAGATGAAACGTAATTTTTCTTAAAAAATCGACGTAATGTCTAGTTCACATTACTCATGTAGAAAAAGACACTACCTGTTTTATATAGTACAAATTTTACTGCTGACTTTACAATACTTATACGGAGTTATTTCCAAGGACATGATATGGACATATGGTAAAACTGTTATATTAATAGTGCTAGTAAATACGATCGCATTACTTTTCTCAAAATTAAACTTGATCCACGAGTTTTACCTAAAGCTAATTTCTCAGTTCAGTTAAGTAGGTGTAAAAGAATATATGTGTAGAAATGAAATATGTATAAAAATAATATAAACTAACCCTACTAAAACTTTCGTTTGAAATTGTACATATTTCTTTTAATTTGCCTTAGAGATATGAACAAATGCATTGTTTATTGTCATCCATGCCTTTAATTTAACTTGTCATGTTCCTGCAAAAGTGTGTTACTTTTTTCATGTATTGCATTTCGAGTATTTAATAATTAACATAGTTTCTACTAAAATATCTCCTCCATCATATAAATTGCGCCACCTCCGGTTATAAGAATAGATGACATTAAGAAATTGTGTCAATAGCTTTATGGTCGTTTTCTTAATATCCTAGTCCGACAGCTGTCAGAAGAGAAACAATGGTTTAGTTTTTAGTTTACAAAGTTTTCCGAGTTATATATCCTTTGTTTGTCTAACATTCTGCTTTCTACATGATATTTTTTTGTTTAAAAATCGTTCGTACCACTCTCTTGAAATTATTCACCGATATTCATTATCAGCTTGTAAGAAATTTTAACAGTTTTGACAACATTGATGGTACAAATTTTTCAAGCAGTTACTTAATTTGAGCGACCAAGGTTTTTTGTTTTAAAACATAGTTATTAAAAATGAATGTAATTAACATTGATTAGTTGTTTCTCTTAAGGAAATTATTTATAACTTTTTTATATCGAAATTAGTCGCTCAGTTCTAAAGTTCTTGTAATTTGACGTATCAGTTGCAGATAACCCTAGACTTGCAACTGATACGCCAAAATATGCATTTTGTTGAACATTGACACAAACAATACGTAAAATAAAAAATATATACTGGGAATACTGAACTAAAGCAATTTTTAAACTATCAAAATATTTGGAAAATATCTTGACCGATCAGCAAAATATCGAAGACTATAAAATACATTACCTACATTTAAATTTATCTGAGAAGTGTTAAAAGTAAAACTAAAGCTAGTTTTCTGCAAAGACGATCCTATTAATAGATAAATATACAGATATATAATGGACTAAGGATCTAAAACCAACGGTTTGCGAGATACATGATGTTGAAATTTTAATTTCTTCAAACATCTATGAATATGATATATACAGATAAGGTATTAACCAAATAAATCGTTGATTTGGTACATAAATATGCCAACCAGCTGTTGAGGTACCTACATACTGTTACAAAAAAGATATCCTCTATTTTATTCGAAAAACGAGATATTTTCAGTAATTTTTTTAAAATAAACTTAGCTTGCAAGGCAGTTTGAATAAATTGGAAATAACACCAATTCTGAATATTTAGAGAAATTCACAAAAACATAAAATTAAATGGAATGTAATGAATAAATGTCGAAAAAAATCTTTGAAGTATTAATTTTTTCTATAAAAAACCTCTGGCACATGGCTTAAAAATTTTAAATGTCTAGTTTTTTTCATAGTTACATTTCATTTAATATGGTATTTTTAGCAAAACGTTTCTGTACATTTTTTTCTAATTAAATACTTTTAAAGATATTTTAAATATGTTCAATAATGACTAGCTTATTTTACATTAAAAAATAATAATAATAAAAACCCCAAACTAACTAGTTTTTAGAATTAATTGAAATGTCTTTTTCCTTATTACAATTAGAAATCAAATGTCATCAATGATTTTCCAAAAAAAAGTTGTAGAATTTATGGGATTTTCAAAGACAACGCGTCACGTTTACTTTTAGTTAGTTAAACCACTAGCCGAGTTTCGTCAATCTACGTAAAATATCTTCAGAGATATTTGAGGCAATGTTACATTTGTTTAAAATTTCAACATCTCGCATCTTGAAAACAGTAGCTTTAGACCATCTTTTGGAAATAATTTTAAAAGGATACTAAAAGCCTCCACCCTCAAAAATCAAATATTTTAAGGAGAATTTTATTATTAATATATTACTTATTTCCTTTTAAAGTGTGAATGAAAATTTGAAACTATTATGTCAATCATCTTTTCAAAAATGTAAATCTTAATACATTATTTTGCAATAGTTTCTTTATTTCACAATGAACAAATTTATTTTGAAATTTATTCAAAACATCAAAAAATAAAGTCCATATGTCTTATTGTTAGTATCTATATACTATAAAATAACAAAATGGAGTGATTAAAACTTTATCTTAATTCAGGTCAAGGGAATAAACTCTTTCATCAACCGTTTTATCGTTGAAACTTGTATGTATCGACATGTAGACTTATTGTACTTATTATTACGTTAATACTTGGCAAAAAATACTTGAAAAGTATTCAATTTTATTACTATTTCAGTATAATCAATCGCTATTGTTTAATCATTGCTCTCAGAAAATGGAAAAATAAAGAGATATACTTACGTAATAGAAAGTAACATGTAAATTCAAGGTTATTTATGAGTGAAACTATTTTGGTGTTAAATATTGAGTGAATTTAAGATTTTGACAAAGTAATGAGCTTATCAACACAATTTCTAGAAGATCTAAAACATGCGAAAATGTAAATTTCACTTCATTTGTTGTTAACTCTTGGATTTTGCTGTCAGACAACAAATACGTTTACTTAGTCGTAATTAAAAGCTAACTCATTTTTTCAAAGTTACCAATATAATAAATATTTAGCTAGCAAATAGTTGAATTAACAAAGAATACCTAATATTATTATTTCAACAAAACTGGGTGTGGACTCGTCTTAACAAAACATTCTGTTGATTTTGTGTTCAAATTTTCAAATTTTTGATGGTTTATGGATATACAGAACAATATAAACGTAATAATTTGGTTATTTGAATATCTAGGGTATTTTTAAATTATGATGACCAAAAATAAATGTTACTAATTGATGGTCGCTGAGCAAATATTTTTATAGGAGATCTTTCTGAAAAATCCTTGAATATGTTTTCATTACTTTGAAAATTTCTCTTTAGGTCCGGTTCATTCTCTCAGTTCTTCCTTAAAATCGGTGATAATGAAATAATTAGACGGTTCGCATGTCAATTTAACAAATTTTAATAGATAATCTTCATATCGTTTTGTAGAAATATCCATTGTATGAAATTCTATATCATAATGCGATCATATTTAGTAATTTAGAGTCCTATATATACAATTTTACCTATAGGTCCTTAACTATATAATGATAATAGACGTAAATGAATATATTGATGTGAGCAAAGGCACTAATTGAAGATTAACCACAGGGAGGTTAGAGAGAGACAAACTCTGGGGTGAGCGGGACGCAGGGGGGTGGCGGGGGCGGTGGCAGCTCCGTCACAATCGGAGCGGTAGCATCTGGCAGAGACAGCGTGGAGCTACCTCCAGCAGTCACCCGGGGTCCCATGTTGTCGTACTGGGGGGCAGCGCATGGGCGCCTCGGCAACGTCGCCATCCCGTGGTACACCGGCTTGGGCCTGTGGGATAAGTCCAACAGGTCAGGACACCTGGTCACATCAATCGAGGGGTCTCGACTCACTGACACTGAGATAAAGATGTTTCCGTAGGGGCCGGCTGGAACTGCACTGCCAGAAAACTCCGGGGGCGGCGGAAACACGGCTATGGGCAACGGTTCCCGTTCTATGGTGATATGGACCGGCGGATCCATCACTTCCAGTTCAGGACCCAGGGCCTCGCAGCTACCGGTGCCCCGATCAGTGGTAGTGGCGATACTGACGTCCAAGAGCTTCTTTTCTTGGTCGGTGAAGCTGACGCTGGCCTTCATGTTCCTCCTCTGGTTGTTGTTTCTACTCCTAACACAACACACCGCAATCACTGTGACCACAGCGGAAAATCCCACCGCGACACTTACCATCACTAAGCCCCACCACACTATTTTCGTGTCCGACTTGCTAAGAGTCGTGGCAGTCACTACTTCCGGAAGCACCAGGCTAACATTCACGGAAGCAGAGTCCAGGATATTTCTCGCAACGCATGTATATAAACCCACGTCAGCGTCGCTGACATTGTATATACTGATATTGGCCCATTTATCCAGCAAGCCCTCCTCCGCCTCAACCACTAACCAGGTATGATTGATGGGGTAGCCCTCGTAAAGCCAAGAAACTTGCGGCTCCGGATCCCCCAAGACGTGACACCCGAAACTGACGTTGCCACCGGCCTCGGCTTGCACTTGATTTTGTGGGTGAGCGAATACTTGAGGCGGACAAGCAAATTCCCCCGATGGCACGTGCTCCCACAACTGGTCACTTAATGTCTCGGGCTCGGAGCAAACTAACGGAACGGAATGCAGTTTACTAGCCAAAAACCAGTCTCTAAAACCACGTAACTCACAATCACACCGCCAAGGATTGCCGTCCAAAGCAAGAGTCTTTAAGTTGGCGAAGTTCATGAAAGCCGCCTCGGACAGGTTCTGCAGCAAATTATATTTTAAGTTCAAAGTTTCCAGAGCGGTTAGGTGTATAAACGCCTCCTTATTTATAGATTCTAGATGACAGCTCTCCAGGTCTAACGTCTTGAGATACCTTAAGGGAGGAAACTGAGCCCGCACGAGCCGCCCCAGGGGATTGCCGGTCAGGTAAACAACACTCAATCTCTCATTGCCGTAAAAAGTCTCGGGGTGTAAACTGGTTATCCTGTTATGTGACAGGTCTAATTCTACCAAAATAATTAGATCCTTAAATGCGTCCCGATGGATTTCGCTTAGGCCCGTATTCGATAAGTAAATACGTTGTAAGTTAATTAAGCCTACCGATTTGAATACCGCCTTTGGGAGTTTCGATATGGAGTTCCCGGAGAGGTCGAGTACCTGCATATCACCGTCTAACGTACCGGGAATGCCCGTGAATCCCGCATCCTTGCACACGGCTGTCTTCTTCCCTGAGCTCCACTTACATCTACAGGGACTCTGGCAATCGGTCCAGTCTGGAGCCGCTAAGGCTAGCGCTACAGCAAGCACCAGCAGCGAAAGCGTAGCCATCACTTGTCATCTTGTGAGGATTTTTGTGCTAGGTGAAGACATCACAAACAATGTTTTGAAATGGCACATCACAAAGTTTTAATTGGGGGCACAGGTCACTGTACGGTTTATGAAACTTAAATTAGTACCTACATGTAAACCTCGGGGTGCAGCCGTGTGTCAGACATGCAGGTCGTTGCCGCTACTTATTTTCGTCTTTTGTGAGCTATGTTTAGAAACGCATAATAAACATTACGGAACTGGCGTACAGTCGATCGTGTTTCACGCGGCGCGCGTGTATACGCGTGTTCTCTGGATTTCAGTTCACCGCACTATGATGTTAGTCCGCAGCTTTATGGGTCGAGGCGCCTCTATTTGTTGCGTCGGCGTCGTGGTACTCAGGATGCGCCGCCCAGCCCTATGCAGCAAAGAACCTGCTGCTTCTATATTGCCTCTTGCTGATTACTTTTCTGATTTCGCCCGGTTATAATTGATTGGATATTACTATTTATGACGGCGACAGTCGACCTACTTTAAATTTTTTCAAAATGCGGGTGTATTTTTTACCCAATATACTGATAAGGGATTGAGCAAGTTATACAGGGTGGTCCAAATTTTATGCAGGAAACTTCGAGAACAGATAATTCTCTTTAAAATAATAGGAGTTTGCCTTATAAACATAGGTCTGGAACGGGCTCGTTTTAGAGATACAGGGTGTTGAAGTTGTTAAAGGAAAATTATTTTTTGTTTATATCTCAGGAATCTATTAACCGATCTCAATAAAATTTGATACAAATAATGTACGACAGTAGGTCTTGCATTCCCTAAAATATGAGCTCTAAAGGTTTAACCAGTGGCGTACAATTAGACAGGAGTCACCTTCTTTTTATAAAAAAACCTACGCCACTGTATTTTTTACAAGTTATTGTAACGGATTTATATTCTAATGCACTAAATACGTAAAAGTGACTTATTTTTTTCCCTAAGGTTCACCATTTTCAAGTTATTCATACCAATACAATCCTATTGTGGCAGACACTTCAAATTATAATATTACAAAAATATTTATGTTTATGTTTAAAAGTAAGTGCAATTTGTAAGCACATCAACAAAATTCTTTCCACATCACCTGTGAGGAAGTGTTCCTAGTGTGTTTTAGTTTTCCCTGGAGGCATTATCTTTACAAATAAGAACAATTTAAATCAAAATAATAAAAATACATTGACCAAGCAACAACAACTAAACAAGAAACAAAATTAACGTTACGTATTTACAGCAATTGTTTAAAATGCGAACCACCCACATCGATACATTTCTGACATCTTAATGGAACTAATTGAAGCTAATATCATGAAGTGGTTTTCTTTTAATTCATTACACCCGTCTTCTATTCACTGCAGTAGTTGTGGTCTAGTATCTATTGGAGTAGATTCACCCCAAACATAGAAGTCCAAGGAGTTTAGATCTGGCGATCTGGCTGGCCAAGACACTGGACCCTCTGCATCATTATGGTTGACATTGGCGTTTGGTTAATAAGCCATTCTTGTATTATTGTTCTAAAACGCGCAGGAGCACCATCCATTTGTATCCAGCTATTCTGTCGTATATTTAATGGAACATCCTCTAATAATAATTCAAATAGATAGTTTTCTATAAAGTTTAGAAATGAATTATGAAAATTCACTACCCCTCGCCTTGTGAACGGGACCTCATCGGTCCAAAGTGTTCCTAGTAAGAATTCAAACAAACACTGATTCAGGTGTCTCTCTGCATCTTCCGGGAGTAATATTTTGCACAGGTTGTAAATGGTACGGATTTCTACCATCCTTACGCAGAACTTTTCAAATTTTCAATTTACTCACCCCAAGTTGCCGAGACGTTCTTCGTGTACTTAGCCGAGGATCGTCGTCAAATGTTTTTAAGATTTCATTTCTGTGCCTTTCATTCCTTTGTCGTGAGTTTCCAAATATTGTTTTAATCCAAAAAGATGAAAGCGATGAGTGTAAAGAATTTTGTTGATGTGCTTACAAATTACACTTCATAAACATAAATATTCTTGTAATATTATGGTTAGAAGTGTCTGCCACAAGGGGATTGTATTGGTATGAATAACTTGAGAACGGTGAACTTTAGTGAAAAAATTCAAGTTATCTTTTTTACGTATTTTGTGCATTAGAATATAACTTCGTTACAATTGTTTGTAAAAAATACAGTGGCGTAGGTTTTTTTATAAAAAAGGGAGTCACCCTGTCCATCACTGGTTGAATCTTTAGAGGTCATATTTTAGGAAATACAAGGCCTACTATCATACATTATCTGTAGTAAATTTTATTGAAATCGGTCAATGGATTCCGGAGATATAAACAAAAAATATATTTTTTTAACAACTTCAGCACCCTGTATCTCTAAAACGAGGCCGTTCCAGACCTATGTTTATAAGGCAAACACCTACTATTTTAAAAAGATCTACCTGCCCTCGAAGTTTCCTGCATAAAATTCGGACCACCCTGTATAAGACGATTCACAGCAAGTTAAAAAAAAATTAGAGGAAGATGATGCATCGAAAATCCTGCAAATTTGCCTTCTACCTGTGTATTATTATTCATGATCTAGAAATTACAGGGTGTTCAATTAAAAAAAATATTTTTTGCAAACGTTAAAATTGAACAAACATTTCTTTTTTGGACAAGTAAGACCATTAAACTAAATGTTTGCCAAGTTTTGTATTAAAAATTTTATTAGTGGCGGGGGAAATATCTAATCTCTTTCACTATGTGTATTTTATGCCGGATTCTAGAGACATTTTTAAGCAAAAGTTAACCTCTTTTCTATTATACTCAATGCTACCATTTTTGATTTATAAGATTTTAAATGTACTAATAACATGCAGTTTCGAACAATAAACAATGGAGTTTTAGAAATATTTTTATATAAGTAATTAATACAAAGTTGTACAGAAAGCATAAATAAAGAAAATTCGTTCGTATTCGTATTTTTTTAGATCTATTTGTTCTAATATCATTGAACAATTATAAATAGTTTGTATTTGAGATTCTTGTTTCGAAAAAAAAATACTTTTGTTGATTTTGTTGTTAGTTCTTCACTTTACTAATAATTTGTTTTTATTATCTTCTTTATACTATTCGCCAACTAGTTGATCTACTATTACTAAAAGTTAATTGTATATTTGGTACCTTATAACTCAAAATAGTGACAATTAATACAATAAACAAAGAGATTATTTTTAAAATGTTGGAAAATTCAGAATCATGGAAAAAATTCAAATTATTTTTACTGGTATAAAAGTTACATCATAAAGCAGGTTGGAGATTTCCCATATTCCACTGAATAATTTACAATTTAAAAAAAAATCTTAATGACATTACATGACCACCAAAAAAAAAACAAAAAATGTTCATTCCTTTCTGTTCTATTACCAAAAATTTTATTTTTTTTTTAATTTCAGCATTCTGTAATTTCCAAAATAATGCCATGTTAGGACATACACTGATTTATTATTATTAAAAATATGAAGTCAAAATAAATGTTCGATTTTCCTTTCTTTTAGTTCTAGAGTAGTAATAAAAAAAAAAATAAAAATTTTGAATGACCTCAGCAGATAGAGTTGAACTTTTTTCAGAAACGTTGTCACTTTATCTTATAGATTCTTTCCTTAGAAGCCTGTGGCGTACTTATTTATTAATAACTCGGTTTTCAACTTACAGGTGACGTTTACATTTTTTATAGGATAGGAACCATAATTGACAATGGCTTAATTAAAAAGAGTGTGACCTGTTCTTTCCTAAAATGTGCTTAACTGAGTTAACAAGTAAACAACAACAAGAATACAAAATACTTGTTTAAATGATTTATATTAATTATATAATATCATTTTTAGTTTTTATTTTGAATAATTATTTATTACTGACTGTTCACTAAGTATTGTTGTGTAATTCAATACTATATGGGGCGTAGAGTAGTTGTTTCACGCAATATTAGCAGTTAGGAATCTTGTTTGTAGGTTAAATATATTTTGCATGCTTTCTGGTATCGAAGAACATTGTTTGACTTGATTAGATAACATATCCATCAAAATGATAACCTAATAAGAAGTAGGAATGAAAAATTTCAACAAGGGTTTCATTTAAAACAAAGAAATTATCTGTTAATTTTCGTTTGTTTTACGATTAAAGCTTACCAAAATATTTACGTCAAGGTTAGGAGTTATAAAATTCATTTTTCATTAGTATTTCAAAAAACCTTACATGAAAAAGTTATTTCTCTTTTCGATACCTAATTTTGTGTCTACAGACAAATTTCTAACTACCTTGCGTCCTTTTAAACTTCCTCCCTTTTCCCCATTATATTTCCATCAATAAAACCTCATCTAATCCCAATAAATTAGCCAAGTTTTTACTCACTGCTGACATACAATTTCCTTTGATCAATATTTGAAATGAATATACCTGCACATATTTTGATATTGAAAAAAAATATTATGTAGCTATCTTCACTGAAGGAAATATACCAATTTTAAAGTTTTGATAAGATAAACTGTATCTTATTAGTGTTAAAATATCTTGTGCCAAGCTTAATGCAAATTATTTTATTAATACGATTTTAGTCTGAAGTTGATTCTGTACTAGAACAAGAGGGCACCATCTTACGGTGATTAGGTATATTTCTTCTAGTGTTTCTTGCACTTGAACCATATTTCTAAGCCTAGCAGAACAATGAACCTGCAAGTATTGCAAAGTCAGCATCTAATCGGGATTGATACCTCACATAGTAATCATAGTTGACAAACAGACAAGAGAGCTACATAGCACATAGCCATTTTGTGTCCAACACTGCAAGAAGAAGGGTGTCTTGTCCATATTTCATACAAATAACGTTTTATATTATAGTAATAATTAACAAAGCTTTTACTATATTTTCATATACATTATACTATGTAAAAGAGTAGAAGATTAATATATGCATATGAAGAAGTATCTATGTTTTTTACACATACATCAACCAAAAATGTACTTCTCAGAAACATATACTGGCCATTGTATGAGGCGCACTTCAACAACTTTATTGGCCAATAAAGGCGCTGATCTTACAACCATCAAACGGCATGGTGGATGGAAAAGCTCCTCTGTAGCAGAAAGTTATATTGATGAGTTTATATCTAACAAACTTGATATTGCAATTAAAATCCAAGGAAAATATAGCTGTTGCTTGCAAGAAGAGACATCCGTAACTTGTGCAAATTCTTCACAAACTTCGGCAGAAGTTATGCGTTCCGAAAATGATGGCAACAATGCTACAA